TCATTGATACATTTGTGACACACCTCTAAACTAAACTTCCACTTGTTTGGTGTACAGTCTCAGACTACGTGGCCCTCATGGTATTCCTTCTTGAGCCTAGATTGGTCCACCCTCTTTCTGTAGGTCTATCTTCTTGTTCAACTTCTTCCTAGGGTGCTGTCTTAAATTCACAACACTCCTTGACAGGTTCTTCTTTTTGTCTCTCATTGATCAGCTCAAACATGGCTTTTGTTACTTCATGTCTACCTCTTCTGTTTTGGAAATCCCTTTTTTTTTATGTCAGCTTCAGACATCATTATTCACCATAATGTTTATGTCTTCATTTTCAAGTATGGCTTTTGTCTGGTCTCTTGGCAAATGAGTAGGTTTTTCACACAGAGAAGCCCATTTTTCTTGCTCAATCTTGTCAGCCATTCACCTTGCAATTTATCCCCATAAAGGGATGATTTATCGATATTGATCAATTCTCAATTCTCTTCCTTCACGTTATTTGACTCATCTCACTTCTTTTTTCACCAGTTTTCAAGAGCATCTCTTCATTTCTATAATCACCAGTTCCAAAGTGATCTTTTGTCTTTTCCCTAACCATTTTCTATTTCTTCTGTTGTTCCTCGGGACATTTTCTTACCCTTTCTTTTCAGTCATCCTACCCATCTAGACAAAAAAAATTCTGTTTAGATTTTTGTTTGTTTTTTAAGCACAAAGCTACACATGGGCATCACAGGTATTGAAACCTGATTTTTGACTTTATAAGTCTATAGACTTACTGCTGAGCCACTGAAAATCCTTCTCAGGGCTCTTACATGGCCTCCATTCAAACTTTTTGAATCATCATGCAGAGAATAAAGAGAATGAAAAGTGATTGAAGATTACATCCGATCAACCTCCCAAGCAGCCCAAGTCTCAGTGAAGAAGGAGCAGTCTGGGAATAAAATAAACCTGTTCCTGTGGTGAAGAGTGGAGGAAGTTTTCAAGGCAAAAATTTCAGACCAACATCTCCCACAAAGCACAGCGATAAGAAAATATATATTATGAAAAAGATGGTACAGGCAACAAGTACCCATCCCCAATCATCTCCTTCGTCCTGTTTGGGCAATTTGTTGTTATCTTTCTCACAATGCTTCTTGTTGAGGAAATTACTATAATCTTTTTTTGCTATGAGAATATTCTTTTCATGCGCTCTCTCCTACATTGACCAACTGGATTAAATAACTCTACAGTATATGACTCCTTTCAACTTTTTCATATCATCTCCTATTCAAATTCATCTTTCACAGGTTCTCTTCCCCCTGGGTGTTGATGTCCTTTAGAGGAGATATTGCAGGCAAGAATGTAGACAACCTCTGACACCTTTGTGTTCAATTCTTACACCACACTGCAGTTTTTTTTCCATTTCTGGGTGTCATCTCTTTCAAGTTGCCATTTTCAAATCTTTTCAAAGGTCCTAAAGAGCTGAGTAACTGTTTATTTCTTTTTATCGCAGCTTCAGCAAAAAAAAGCAACCATCTAAATGTAATATATATATAAATACTGGAGACAATTGAAATGAACTTACCACATGCTTAGAATATTTTTAATCCCAAAAATCTATCTGCATCAAGTAGGGGATAACAGGAAGTGTTAAGCCCATCTGCACTAGCTCTGTACCCAGTTGAGGTGGAGATTTTCCCACAATGCTTCAGTAGTTACAATATTTAACCTTACAAGCTTTGAGGCTCCTTTGAAAAAAAAAATTAAAAAAATGTACCAGGTATGGTTCCTTGCCCTGGCTAACTCCTGCTGTTCCTAGTTGTGGTAACCCCTTTATGCAGTTTCAGTGTGGGATCTTATGCAGATGATAGATAAGTGCTATTTGGTCTATACACCTCTCCAGTGTTCTCCTCTATGCATATTTCTTCCACCCATTTTCTTCTAGAGGAATGGGATAACCTTTATTCCCTAGTACTAAGCTTCTAGGGAGGTCAGTATAGATAGTTCCTCTTTTGGGTCAGGGTAATCCCACATGTATGAGAGAGATGTCTTCCTGGAAGTGTGGTACAGATCATCCATACATTGAGAACTAGACTATTCCTAATGGTTGTGATAGCCTAATGGTTCTTGAATTCTCCTCAGAATGCAAGTCTGGGATGATTCATCCTTACATGTGCTTATTCTGGAAAGTATATTACATATTTCTCACAAACTGTATGGCTTGACTTATTTCTCAAGCAACACTAAACATATATATGATCTGCCTACCACCTGAGACATAGAGGTGGTTGACCAGCCTTTACACTCAACCTACCTTTGCAACAGATTAGAGCCAAGCAAGAGGTTCTTTTGACAGTAACTTTCTGCACTACTATTCCCTACTCTTGCTTGTGGTGGATGTGGGCTCCACCGAGTAGTAGTCTTCCTCCAGTGAGTGACAAACTTTATGCCTTTTCCCTTCTGTCACAATATTCTCAAAAGGAGCTCATCTTTTTAATTTCTTCATCTACACCAGTCTCTCCAACATCTCAATGTGGAGAGGTAAGTAGCATTTCTGAAGTTAACATTTTCATTACCAGAAAGTGCATTTCAAACAGATAACTCTTCACAGAAAAAACCCACCCTTCCAGTGTATGTTTCTCTTCTGCTTCATCAAGAATGAGCTTTTGATATACACAAAGTGCTAAAGGAGAGTATTGTGTTTGGAGGATGTATCATCCTCCTATTGGTGAAGCGCTATAGTCTAATGGTGATTGCATTATAGACTGGTGCAGTACATGTTATTACAAGTAGAAGTTGGAGTTTTGTTCAAAGACTTGGCACATCCACAAAATCTTTTCAGCAATGGCATGAGGTATTAACTGTCTGTTCTGTGGAGAAGCATTTAACTGAAACATTTTCAGCTAAGAAGAATGTTAATACCTTGTCAGTGAAACAAAATTTTGTATTGTTGAGGGCAAAATGACTTAACTAAGCCTATCTCATCTTGTTCCATGAAAAACATTTCTTTTCCTATCATATTGTATTATAATACTTCAAATGAAGTATAAAATGGTAAATCAAGCTTTATGCAAGCATTGAAAAAAATCAAGAATGTAAATGTATCAGTAGTTGTTGACAAATATCTTTTTGTTCTAGCAACATATCGCAAAGCTATGCTTTACCACTTGTTCTGACCTCACGTGAATCTATGCTGAACTGGAAACTGTATTGATTGTATGGTTCAACAGGAAAAAAAGCTTTCATTACATGTTTAGATCACTAGCATACAACTTTTTGAAGCTGAGAGATAAGGAACTGCATTACTTTATGATAACTAAGAGGTTGAAAAATAATGATTAGCTAAAATCCATAAAACTACACTTGCATTCAAGTTAAAAGGTCAAACTAGGGAAACTGTGTTCAAAACTATTATGACTTTCCTCCTGAAGAATACGAATATCATATTTTGTTCAGAAGAAATTCAGGAAATTCACAAATACAAAATGAAGATTTGCAATTTTGTTAAATTTTCATGTATAAAATTAATTAATTAAGACTTTTTTTTATTTGATAAATTTCAACTCTGAAGTTTTCTAATGTGTGGAAGAATGACTTAAAGTTTTTAATCCAATGATGCAATTCTTCACTTGAGGCAAGTTGAACCCATCCAGACACAAGATAAAGGTACTCCATGTTGTCAATTAATAAAAAAATTAAGGGTCTGACAGTGATCCCAGAAATGAAACTCAAACACTATGTCCCTGGAAAATAAAATGTTTACAATAGGCACACATGTTCCTGTTGTCAAGTAATGAAAAGAAAAACAAGGGTTTGAAAGTGATCCAGGAAAATTATGATGTCTTCTGCTTACACAAGAAGATAATTTCTCTCAAACTTTGTATCTGTTGAGGCATCTGTGTTTTTTATGCAAACCTCAGAAGATGCTATACAGATAAAGAACATACACAAATAATTAGAAGTCAAACTTTTAATAAAAGAAATTAAAATGGAAAAAAGTTCAACTTTCTAACAAAAAAAAAATACAGTTATAAACAATTAGAACTTATTTAAGAAGTACAGTAACTTCTCAACAACAGAGCTAGTGTATCAATTCACAGCATGACCTTGTAGTTTCAAGACTTGGCAGAAAATAGAAACATGGGTATCATGGCATAGTACAAGCTGAGAGTCCAAATGATTACATTTGTGGGAGAAAGCATATTAAGAGACTCTACAGAGGAATAAAATAATTAAAGCAGAATCTAAACCTTGAATGTAACATGTTGTCATGAAAGAAGTAAAGTTGCATTTAAACTCTTAAATCTCCACTGTAATAACTTTTCTCCAGATATAAACTAACCACCCCTTTAAGAATCCTCTGTATTTCTACATGAATATTTCTATTTATCTACTTTTGATAATAACATTTTAAACTATAAAATACTACCTTCTCATCTAGTTGCCCCAAGACATCTACTGGATTCTGATCCTTCATTACATCAACAAGAGATTCGGAGCCCAATCCATTCACCAAACTTGAGAACGCTGTCTCATAAATCTTGAGCTGGTCACTCGTATAACGTAATTTTTCCTTTAGAATGGAGATTTCCTCTTCCAGTGGAACAACAAGTGATTTCAGTATTTCAGAATCTTCTTGGGCCTACATTAGTGAAATAAACAACAGATTTGAAAGTCCAAACGTTTGAAATAAAAAGTTTCTATTAAATAATAAGAACATTAAATCACATGTCTTAATACTAATGTTATCTTTACAAGTTACTGATTTAATAAGGTATCATAAAACACACCTGTTGTTCTCAGGCAAATCTTCACAAATGAACTTTGCAAAATAAATCTGAAAAGGAACACTGCATTCAATGTTATAATGTTAAAACTGAACATTAAAACTTAATTTCTCCAATTTATTAAAACAGGTAATTTTAAGTCATCTTCTCATACATATCGAACTTAATTGGAGATCATAAGGAATTCAAACCTATATGACAAGTGTCTTGGAATATCAAATTAGACAACAGTTGCACTTCTTTGTTCTGAATTTTAAAAACATAATAAAATATATTTCAATCAATTTGGTAGAAGTAATTACTTTAAAAAAGGAAATTTAGTATTTTATATGTTGCTCTAAGGATTAGTTTTATAAATCAAATGTTAAAAGTAAAAATATACTAAGGAAACACATAACATATCAAGAAGCAGGTAATTACTATTTGAAGTTTTATGTTTCTATACATTTGAACTTTGATTTTTGAAACCCACTTACAATACCTTCTCTACCCTACTTCTAGGAATATGATTTTTCTTTTTCACTCACTTATTAGCACCTTCTCTCCTGCAGAATAAGAAATGAGTCACAACTCTGGACTTGTGAAAGTTTTAATTATCAAAAATGCAGCACATTTTTTTTGAAGGTTTATGGTTCATTTCTTATGCAACATCCAATACAATGTAAGTTTACAAATATCAAGATCATTAGGTTCTGAATCATGGATCTTATATTTCTTTCCAGCCTTTTTTTTACCTAACATAACAAAATAATGTTACATTTCATGTTGATATTTTGAAAATAGTTTAAAAAAAATACTTTTACCCTCTAGATACTAATAAAAAAAACTTATTTCTGCCAACATTTAATAATTGCAACTTCATAAAGGCTAGTAGTACAAGAAATGTTTTTCAGAATTTGTAGTTCATACTGAATCTAGAAAAAATTAACTTAGCTTTTTCCTATTTTCTTTAGTGCCTATACTTCACTTGCTTAACTCTTTCTCTATGGTCAGGTCAAAGTGGCATAAAAGCATAGTTAATAAATCAAATTTTAATATTATATAAGTTTTAAGGAGATATTTTAAAAAATCCTCAATTTCTACTAGTATGAGAACTGTGGCATTTGCTCTTTAGATCTTCCCTCTTCTCTTATTTATTTACCAACCCCTGAAGACGTATGGAATTTAATATAAATTACTCATTATAATAAAAATATTACTCAGGCTAAACAAAATTTTTAGCCTTCAATCTTATTTATTTATAGAGCCATAAACTAGAAAATCAAACCCACTTGCCATGCCCACCTATCACATCCTCTCTTTCACAACTTGCCAATACTTCTCTTTGACAAGGTTGTAATCTATCAAATGATGTATTATATTATGTTCTTTTCTGTACAGAGACCTCTCCTAGTTCAGTTTAAAATTTGTTCTCATGGGAATCACATCGATGAGCTTATCTGATTTTTGAAAGGCTCTTGCACATAGTTAAAAAGCCAGAAAAATTATGATAGTTATAGACATCATTTGCTTTTTGCATGTTATTATTCTGTGTTCTTAAATGCATTATTTAATTAGATAAAAAATTTAGTGTAGTAGCACCATTAGTATAACAAAGTAGGCTTGTGTTTAACATTTGACAGCAAAAAAAAAAGAAGACCCTGGTAAGTCTTACATTTTTAGTTTTTAATGCATATTCTTTATTTATAATTATAAAAGTAGCTAAGAAAGTTAAACTTATTGGGTTAGATAAGGTTAAATTAGGTAAGATGAAAAATTATAAAAATTCTTCACTTGATATGCTTGCAAGCAGCTCACAATTAGCTCATGTGTTAGAAAAAAGGTTAGAAAAATGTTTACTTCCAAGATGATACCTCAACTTCACCCACAGAACAGCTAGAGCCCCATGTTGAAGTGGTGGAGGGACCAGTACAAAATTTTAAACCTAGACAAGCTCCCTTCAGAAAGTGCCTTAAGGGAAAGCCCATGGAGTGTGACACCCAATGACATGGATTCCATAAGGAAATACCATGAGAGACTGCATTTCATCTTGACCACTGTATACTTTTCACCTAGAATGTTAGAGGAAGAGGAAAAAGAGCTCCAATGTTGGCGGGATAGGCAGAATTTGAACATGTCCAACTAAGCACCTCCACACAAGCAGTCGGTAAGCCAATATGTATAGTGAGGGTGACTTCAGACCATACGGTGTGTGCCTACTTTGACTCTACAGGACAAATTATGCTGCAAGAGTAGAATACATGAGCTGTTTGAGAGGTGACCCGTACTACACGGACCATGTCACCATTGCCCTATTTCTCACGGTATTTTACTAAACTCAACTAGTGAGGAATTCTCCAAGGTCCGTCATCCCAGTGGCTAGGAACTGGTAAGTGGCAAGGGTCTTCCAAGCTCTATCTGAAGAAGGGTGGGAGAATTCATGTTGGGGAGACTCGGAGGAACTCCTCGATTCCCATTGGTACACCTACCAGTGCAATGGGTGACCACAAAACCTTATATTCAATAACCAGCAAGCATGTGCCAATGAAGTGAGCAGTCACTTCCCTGGAATCAGCTTTCTCCATGATAGTCCATAGAATGGTATGGTCTAGATCAGGCAATTTAGTAATTGTATTGTATACTACAAGAATACCTCTAATGATCTTGCAGAACACCAAGGCATATTGTTTGAGCACTGTCTGTTACTCCTGGCCTGATATAGATTTTGGAAAATAAGCATATCCTAGGAGGCAACACTAGCCACCTAGCAAGATCCTATCAGGCGAAAAAGGAAAGAAAAAGAAACACACCTATCTAAAAGACAGTGGGTTGACTGAAGAATGGCAACCAGGGGGAGTTGAATTCCTGTGGGAGACAAAAGAGCCAGATGATGGATATAATGAGCAATGGATATGTGGGAAGTTATCCACATGCTCACCTCAAGGATTTCAAGCACTAGCAAAAATGAAAAGCAAGAGTGTGAGATAGATGATAAACGTGATGCAATGAGATTTGAAATAGTCTTTCAGCATCAACTTCCAGAGAAGAATATGCCAATCAAAGGAGCTGATGAACCCATTCAGTAAGAGTAGATGGGAAGAGATCCCTGGAAGAAGAGGGGTCTCAGGATAGAAAGAGACATTAACAGGGACTCCAAAATACACAGGTGCATGGTAAGTAACATAGTATATCCCACACTGTACATTGGAGCAGATATGGATCTGAATGATCATAGAGGTGAGAGATAGAAAGAAGGGAGATATGAAAGAACATATGGGCAAAGAAAAGACTGGAAAGTAAATAAGTATGGTGGAAGAGATTGTGAGAAGCTTCAATAGTAGAGATATCTGAGCAATGATGACCACAAGCAAAAAGAAGGAGAAAATATTGTGGAAATGGGAAAGGCTAAATGTAGTGGGTAAGGCCACCCAAAGTCATTAATGGGGGAGACAGACAAACCATGGTGAAACAGCTAAGGAAAAATTATTTAAAGGTGATTCATGGAAGGACAGTCAAGAGGAAGGGAGTGGCAGATGGACCAATGATACAAACTACCACTTATATTGATAGACAGATAAAGTGGAAGGTAAATAGGAATGGGACAAGAAGAAGGTTATATGAACAAACAATCTGGCCCAAAGGGCAATGGACTGGACAAATCCCCCATATGAAGATGTATGGATGACACTCCTGGATGAAAAAGGGGCATATGGTAGAAGAAGTGAGGGTCTAAGCATTAAATAAAGAAGCAAAGGAAATCAAGGCTGAGCTGGCCAAAGTGGCACCACCAGCAGGACCTGACAAAAAGTGTCATGTGTCAAGGTGAGGACCCAAGGAAGAAGTCAGAGAGGAGGATGGGCATATAGGAAAAGGCAAGATCAGTCTTGGCTGTGAGCATTAACAACCAGAGCCAAATGATAAGGAACCAGGCACCAGAAAAAAAGGAGAAGCTTGGAGGTGAAAGGAGTGCCAAAAGCATGCATGAAGGGTGTGTCTAACTGAGAGCAAACCCAATGAAAAATCTGGGAGTAGAGGCCAATCTGTGGACAGAACACCATCTGACCAAGAGAACTGGTTCACCACAATGTTCATAGCTCCTGGTACATGACATGCGACAAGACGAACTTGATGGGAATGAGCCCAGAAAAAAAAAGTCCAACATCTGAAAGAAAAGTTCTAGAACAGGTGCCTTTTTCACAGCTGATGTAAGAAACAACTGTGAAATTTTCAGAGTAAATCATGAACCAAATGGCCCATCAGAAATGGTAAAAAATGGGAAATTGTCTGGCAGACAGCGAGTTTGAGCATGTTGATGTGGAGTGAACTCTCTTCTTGTCCTGTGCTCAAATGCCAGAAGTAAATTCGTTGTTCAGAGATGTGCCCAAACTAGAGAGGTAAACATCATGAAGAAATGGAGATGTGGTCTGAGAATGGTGATAGAGAAACACCAGATGTGTTACTCGAACAGTGTAGCCACCATTACAAGTACTTGAGAAGAGAAGAGGGAAGGTTCATTATCAATGACAGTGAATCCCAAGGTAGATTCTATTGGTCTTGCAAAGTCCACTGGAGAAGGCACATGTGTGAACACACCAAAGAAATGAGTGATTCTCGGGAAGCCAGTCTTCATAAAGTGAAAGAACCTCACACAGAAAATGAAAACAAGAAGCATAACTGTTGGTGGCCAGACATTCCATAGCTCTCAGGCAAAGAGGTAAGGGCTGAGCCTGGCTGAGCTAATAGTTGAAGAAAATGTCCAAGGAGCTAAATATTGCATGGGCATGAGAAAGGACTCATAAATCTTGACAAGCTATTCTAACTAAGCAGCCTCATGCAGAAGACGGGAGGTGTAAAAAAAAACAATCATTCACATAGA